ATCACGATACAGCAATTCTGTGATAATCGATATATCGTTAGACAATCCTATAATGATACATCATGATATCTGTCTAACTATAAATACAAAAAGCCTGTGAAATAGTTTTCTGTATTTGCTGCAAATCCAAACTGTTAGAAAACAGCACAATTCTACAGCACACTCTTTTCTGTCTGTAAATTAAAATGACAGAACTTAGAGCAACTATGAAAACTTAATATAATAAACATTTCTTTAAGGCACATAAAAATGCAAATTTATGGAATTTTTTGCTAAAAATACAAATTGCTTTGTACTACCTAAGTGTAATATGTACATCACATTATACTGATAACAGTTCGGTGACGCAGCATTGTGCTGCCCTTTCTCCACCTAGTGGTAGCTGTATTTTTAGGCCACTGGAAATTTTGGGTTTGAGTTTTGACCCTTTGGGGATGCAGTAGCTAGTCAGTGTGGAGTGCTGAAGTAGCAGAAAAGCAGATTAAGCCAGTGAAGTTAGCAGCGTTTTTTTATTTCACTCAAAGCTCAGGAAACATATGTACTTGCAGAGTATGTCACTCAGGATGTTAAGCATGTGAAGCGAAACATGTAGCTTATGTTAAGATTATATTATCACGATTGCGATGCTAATGTACGTTAGCATGTTAATGGAGATTCCCATTATATATGAGCTAACCATCAAAGTGCTTTTTAAAAATTTTATGTATCGATATGATGGGCTGGAATATCGATACAGTATGATGGAAAAATGTATAATGACAATTATAACACTATATCATGAGTTAAAAGTGAGCAGAGGACGTTAATATGTCACTCAAGAAATGTATTGCATACATTGAATGGCAGGCGAGAGAGAGAAAGGGTTCTTCAACAAGCCTCAGTTTAGCTGGAAATTTACAGTGTAAGTTGATTACTTACACAAGATTAAAGCGGAGATTCCATGTGTAACACCCCATAATAACCCATAATTAAACGTGGCTCTCTTCCTCCTTTACATTGCTATGATCAGCTCACAAATTCCCTTTCTTACACCTGAAATTCACTGGACCGCAAGCTCTCTATTGAGTTACGTACATGCTACCTGTCTGAGGGGTCGCAGTAGAGTGAGAGAGAGAGAGAGAGAGAGAGAGAGAGAGAGAGAGAGAGAGGGATTGAAATAATAAAAACACTGAAGTTCACAGACCCGAAGTAAACACTAAAACATAAACTAAGGCATAGGACTAACAACTAAGTTACAGAGCTAAAACGCAGGACTAAGAACTAAGATAAGAGACAAGATAGATACTAAGTAAAGTAAATATGCGAATGAACAAAATAATAAACTAGGCTAGGAGATGGTTCTCATGGAATTCCCATTACAGCTACAAAACACAAAACCCCAAAACATGACAAGATCAAATAAAACTTACAGAATCACAGAACCCAAAACTCAACCCATGAAAACAGACTAAAACAGGAAAACATGAACACAAAACCACAGTCCTAACAATATTTAGAATACCTTAAACACTATTGTTTAACTGCTCTTAAATGTTAGCACTCCTCCACTGATAAACGGCATTAGCCAGCTTTGTAGCTAATTTAGCGTTAGCTGCTGTAAGTGATGTTAAAGAATATTTAGAAGTAATGAACTAGGGAGAAATGAGAGGACCGTTCGCTCGAACTGTTTCAGAAATACATCAATCACGTTTGCCGGCAGCATAGCCTCTAAACATCCTGCTGTGACCATGGAGAGGGCAGTGAAAAACAGGAGGGTTAGCAAGTCTGGTATGAATGTTTTCAGGAGAGGAGAAGTATGTTGAGACCATACCAAGATACCATGACATAATGCAGTTTTAAAAAACTTTTTGATAGTTATAAATAGTACTTAAAGTAAATAGTGTATAGATAGTGGATGCCATCAAATCAAAACTATAAAAAAATACAAATATACTACTACTACTAATAATAATAATAAACAGGCAAAAATTATATATGTATATTTTTGTCATGGTAGTAATAGTTTTTACCTTACATATAATCTGCCACAGTGACTACTTTCTACTATGTAGCATGTTCACATCTTGCGTATCCCTTTACCAGCACTGTTAATTCTAGCCAAAGCTACGAGAAACCATTTCTCAACCACCATCTGCTCTAAAACATGTCATCTATGATACAGTGACCCTGATAAAAACACTGCTCTTGAAGGCATCTAATATTACTATAATATTATTGTGAGGGAGGAGCAAGTCTGGTATGAATGTTTTCAGGAGAGGAGAAGTGATGAGGACTGTGATATTATGTGAACAATACAGTGAACACTGATTGTGAGAGCTACCAGGAGCTACTCTCCGGAGCTCGGTACACTCTGATCAGCTGATGTTTTCTTCTGTGGTGCAGCAGTGTTGTTAACAAAGGAGCTGCAGAGCGCCCTCTGGTGGGCCAACTATGCAACACACATGCCATGAGGGAAGGATCCGACTCGTTTCTTTTTTAATAGTCATAAATTGTCTGCCGATGCAGATTTATCTGCAAGTAGCTTATATCAGCGGATAATATTATACAACAATATATTGGTTGGGCTCTAATATTTTTACTTACGTATTCAGTTGGTTATTCAGTTCAAGTGTCTGCCCCGCTTTTTCTTGCTGTTTTAATACTGTGGCCGTGTTTCTTTCTTTCTTTTTTAATATGTGCTTATTATTTATTATCGTAAACCTTTATTTGCTGTTTCTCACAGTGTACAGTATGCTGCACACGTCTATTCCACTTCAGCATCAATAAATCTGTGATCGACTGTGTGGTCTCTTGAAGAAAGCTGCTGATGTGCATTTATCTGAATTACTTACACCTGGCTTGACATAGGTGCTCCTCCTGAGGCTGGTTTGGCCTTTGTGAAACCGATAAAGAGAGGATGCGCGGAAAACACTAGGTCAAGTTATCCTGGATTTCTAAATTCTGCTTCTGTGAAACATCCCTCTGGTGCGATCGCTCCGCTTGCGGTGACGTTTGTTCCGGCTGGTCTGGCTTGGTGGTCGGGAGAGGAACTATCCTATTGACATAGGTGGCATTGATCTTTTCAAGGTCTGATGCACTTAATCCATTTCCTGCGCTTCCTTTTCTGACATTATGAGCCCAAATAGCCCAAACCTATCTCCTGTATTGCTTGTCAAATTATATTTTTATATAGTAAGCATCCAAACAGGTCAAGGAGTTGGAATGAATAAAATTATTTAATATTATTTAGATTATTTTTGGGGGCTTTTTGCCTTTATTTTACACTGGCTTCCTGTATGTCACAGAATTGATTTCAAAATCCTGCCGTTAGTTTATAAAGGACTAAATGGTTTAGGGCCTTCTGCTTCATTATGAACCATCCAGACCTCTCAGGTTGTCTGGGATCAGGTCTGCTTTCTGTCCCCCTCGTCAAACCTAAACATGGAGAAGCAGCGTTCAGTTATTATGCTCTGTATATCTGGAACAAACTCCCAGATAACTGCAGGTCTGCTGAAACAGTCAGTTCTTTTAAATTAAGACTGAAGACTTTTCTTTTTTCCACTGCTTTTTATTAAATTAAATTAAAGCCATAGATTGGTACCTTTCACTGCACTGTAACGTATAAACAGATAAGCCTACGTGCAATGAGAACATTTATTTATGAGCAGTGTGCCAGTAACTTTTAATAAACAACAACCTACCGTAACCCCACTCCCCGCCCTGCCGCTAATCGTTAAAAACATAGTCTACTCGCCGGTCGCTCTGTGACAGAGACAGAGAGACATCGGCAGTAGCTGAGGCAGTAAGACAGAAGAACACTGGGAGAAGATAAGGAAGGTTTGGGTTTGGCTCGCTGGCCATTTAATGTTTGCAGTATCGTTGCCTTTTGTTGTTCAGCATGTTCAACTTTTCAACTAATCGATTACGACCAATCGCAGGCTGGATGGGGCAGGATATTAAAAGTCTGACATGCAGACTTTAGAATGTTGAACAATCTGAATATTGACAAGTTAGTACTCAGCATTAACAAATTAAAAAACAACCGACAGAAATTAATCTGCTGTAACTGGATTTAATATTCAACTAGTGTTATAATGAATATAGTAATTCATATATTCTTGTTATAGGCTACTAACAGTATACTTTTAACTGAACATTATACTCTTTATTTAATGTTATAATATTATACTAATACACTTGTGTATACTAGTTCCTCCTCCAGGTTATGGATAGAGTTTCTGCAGTGGACAGATGTAAATTTAGCCAGAGCCACAGTGCCAGTGTGCCAGTATTTGCTCCTTCTAGCTGCCTCCTCCTGAGAGCAACATTCTGTTTTACATCTGTTTTACTAGTTATTGTTAAAAATAATGTTTATCATTTAACTTTGTTCAAGTTGAGAAATTCAAAATGTCAGTATTTAGTGCATTTGCCTTGATAATCAAGCAAGTAGACTCTTAGTACCATTTGTTCAATTATAATCGAATTGCAATCGCAAATCGCAATATTGTCCACCATAAACACAATATGACTTTTTCTCCAAATCGGGAAGCCTTAGTTCAAACTAAGTAGCTTCATTAGCCAAGCCAGGAGCATGACTTTTCACAGTAGTTCAGTTTACATGGCATGCTTTTAGAGAACGCACAGAAGGGAATGGCAAAAACCAGAACATATTTTCTAATGTGATGCATTTCTGTGTGAAACTGAAAATACATCACATTTCAGAAAATAAAGATCAAATCCATTAGATGTGATTGATTTAGAAGTGGTCGTGGCTTAGGGAACGTGGAAATGTGATACAAAGTTGTAGAGGGATGTGGATTTAGGGGGGAAAAAAAAATAAAAAATGGAGCTAGGGAGCTGCAGAGGACCTTCACATACAAAAGTATTCCTGTGTTTAACAGGACATGTATTAAGCATATAATAAAAGATAAAGAAACAATTAATACATGGACCAGAGTAGGACTTTTTAGTTTTCATTTCACTGTGTCTTTAAAGCTGTGTGTTTGTGTCTTGTGTTTCAGATCTGGGATTTGGCTGATCCCGATGGCAAAGGCTATTTGGACAAACAGGTAGGGAACTGACTTTTTGGTGTTGAAATAACTAGTAGGTAAAAAAAAGTTTTGGAATCTGTGCAGTACATGGCTTTAGCCCAGCTTTAAAAATACCTTTAACTTGTGTAGGCAGAGAATATTTTCTTTTTCATATACAGTGGGGAGAACAAGTATTTGATACACTGCTGATTTTGCAGGTTTTCCTACTTACAAAGCATGTAGAGGTCTGTAACTTTTATCATAGGTACACTTCAACTGTGAGAGACAGAATCTAAAAATCCAGAAAATCACATTGTATGATTTTTAATTAATTCATTTGCATTTTATTGCATGACATAAGTATTTCACCTACCAACCAGTAAGAATTCCGGCTCTCACAGACCTGTTAGTTCTCCTTTAAGAAGCCCTCCTGTTCTCCACTCATTACCTGTATTAACTGCACCTGTTTGAACTCGTTACCTGTATAAAAGACACCTGTCCACACACTCAATCAAACAGACTCCAACCTCTCCACAATGGCCAAGACCAGAGAGCTGTGTAAGGACATCAGGGATAAAATTGTAGACCTGCACAAGGCTGGGATGGCCTACAGGACAATAGGCAAGCAGCTTGGTGAGAAGGCAACAACTGTTGGCGCAATTATTAGAAAATGGAAGAAGTTCAAGATGACGGTCAATCTCCCTCGATCTGGGGCTCCATGCAAGATCTCACCTCGTGGGGCATCAGTGATCATGAGGAAGGTGAGGGATCAGCCCAGAACTACACGGCAGGACCTGGTCAATGACCTGAAGAGAGCTGGGACCACAGTCTCAAAGAAAACCATTAGTAACACACTACGCCGTCATAGATTCAAATCCTGCAGCGCACGCAAGGTCCCCCTGCTCAAGCCAGCGCATGTCCAGGCCCGTGTGAAGTTTGCCAGTGACCATCTGGATGATCCAGAGGAGGAATGGGAGAAGGACATGTGGTCTGATGAGACAAAAATAGAGCTTTATGGTCTAAACTCCACTCGCCGTGTTTGAACACTATCCCAACCGTGAAGCATGGAGGTGGAAACATCATTCTTTGGGGATGCTCTTCTGCAAAGGGGACAGGACGACTGCACCGTATTGAGGGGAGGATGGATGGGGCCATGTATCACGAGATCTTGGCCAACAACCTCCTTCCCTCAGTAAGAGCATTGAAGATGGGTCGTGGCTGGGTCTTCCAGCATGACAACGACCCGAAACACACAGCCAGGGCAACTGGCTCCGTAAGAAGCATCTCAAGGTCCTGGAGTGGCCTGGCCAGTCTCCAGACCTAAACCCAATAGAAAATCTTTGGAGGGAGCTGAAAGTCCGTATTGCCCAGCGACAGCCCCGAAATCTGAAGGATCTGGAGAAGGTCTGTAAGGAGGAGTGGGCCAAAATCCCTGCTGCAGTGTGTGCAAACCTGGTCAAGAACTACAGGAAACGAATGATCTCTGTAATTGCAAACAAAGGTTTCTGTACCAAATATTAAATTCTGCTTTTCTGATGTATCAAATACTTGTCATGCAGTAAAATGCAAATTAATTATTTAAAAATCATATAATGTGATTTTCTGGATTTTTGTTTTAGATTCCGTCTCTCACGGTTGAAGTGTACCTATGATTAAAAAATTACAGACCTCTACATGTTTGCAAGTAGGAAAACCTGCAAAATCAGCAGTGTATCAAATACTTGTATTTACAATACAGTATTTGAGATATATATATATATATATATATATATATATATATAAATTTTTTATTTGAACTATCTCCAGTAAATACAATATGTATTACAAGAGTTGTTTTTCTCTCAGGGATTTTTCGTAGCTCTGCGCCTGGTGGCCTGTGCTCAGAGCGGGCAGGAAGTCAGTCTGTCAAGCCTCAATCTCACAGTCCCTCCCCCAAAGTTTGTGAGTATGACTTCATCATTAAAGCTTGAATCCACTGTTTTTTTCCTTCAGAATATTGGAATTTATATGAATAAAATTAATTTTTAATCAATTACTGTCATTTTTGTGTTAACTGTATTATATTGTTAAACCTTGAATCAAAACTTCGGCATGAGAGAAGATGTGTGAATCCAGTGTGGATGTTGTGACAGTGCTATGACAGCCTTTGTTTGTCTGATTTCAGAAGGACACCAGCAGTCCCTCTCTAAGCAGCACAGCATCTGCCTCCGGCGAATTACACTGGGCTGTCAGGGTGTGTTTGAACACACACACATAAACACACAGTAGAATAAAGCACTCATTATAGCGTTTAACTTTAGGTCAGAAAGAAAAAGGAGAATATACTGACTGTGTATTGATATTGTGCGTGTGTATATACACACACTATATTGCCAAAAGTTTTACGACACCCCTCCGAATAATAACATATATATATATATATATATATATATATTTTTTATCTATGAGCTATTTGAGTATCTGGAGCATCAGCATTTGTGGGTTGGATTATACTCTCAAAATGGCCAGAAAAAAAATAACTTCCTTTTGAAACTCGACAGTCTGTTCTTGTTCAGAGAAATGAAGGCTATTCTATGCGAGAAATTGCCAAGACACTGAAGATTTCCTACAATGGTGTGCACTACTCCCTTCAGAGAACAGCACAAACAGGCTCTAACCAGAACAGACAGAGAAGTGGGAGGCCCGGGTGCACAACCGAGCAAGAGGACAAGTACACTAGAGTCTCTAGTTTGAGAAATAGACGCCTCACAGGTCCTCAACTGGCAGCTTCATTAAATGGTACGAAACGCCAGTCTCTGTTAGGTTACACTGAAAGGATTCAGAAGCGGACACAAGACTGTTAACAAGAATGCAGGCAAGATTTATTCAAGTGCACAGGGAAGGCCAGAGGGTTAGGGAGCAAGCGGGGGATTCCAGGCTCAGACGGAATGCGATGAAGGCCTTCTGGAGGGCTGTCAGGGCGGACGGACTGGCAGGCAGGCGGCGAGCAAACAGGCAGGTAAATCAATGGGCGGGCAGGCAGGCAGGCAGCGACTCCGTACGCAGGAGTAACTGTGACAGATGGAAAACAAGACGTTAGGCAAGATCACAACAATTCTCAAAACTTGAAGAGTGGCTGGAGCAATATACCACGGGAGGTAAACTAACGAACTGGCGTTCGAAGAGTGGGAGCTGAGCCAGAGTATTTAACTGCAGGAGTTGATGGTGATGAGCCACAGGTGCGGAACGCTGCAGGTGGCGATGAGCCAGCGCCAGATGCACCTACACACACACACATTGACAGGACTAGACAGACAAGACTGACAGAAACAGCAGGGAGGGGAAAACTGAGAAAACACAAGGGAGGGGGAGGAGGCGAAGCCTAATCACGACAGTCTCAACGTCCACAGTGAAGAGGCAACTCCAGGATGCTGGCCTTCTAGGCAGAGTGGCAAAGAAAAAGCCATATCTGAGACTGGCCAATAAAAGGAACAGATTAAGATGGGCAAAAGAACACAGACATTGGACAGAGGAAGATTGGAAAAAAGTGTTCTAAATCTAAGTTTGAGGTGTCTGGATCACACAGAAGAACATTTTTGAGACGCAGAACAAGTGAACAGATGCTGGAGGAGTACCTGACGCCGTCTGTGAAGCATGGTGGAGGTAACGTGATGGTCTGGGGCTGCTTTGGTGCTGGTAGGTGCTGGTAAAGTGGGAGATTTGTACAAGGTAAAAGGGATTTTGAATAAGGAAGGCTATCACTCCATTTTGCAACGCCATGCCATACCCTGTGGACAGCGCTTGGTTGGAGCCAGTTTCCTCCTACAGCAGGACAATGACCCAAAGCTCACCTCCAAACTATGGAAGAACTATTTAGGGAAGAAGCAGTCAGCTGGTATTCTGTCTGTAATGGAGTGGCCAGCGCAGTCTCCAGATCACAACCCTATTGAGGGTAAGGTACGTAAGAAGTGCCCATCAAGCCAATCCGACTTGTGGGAGGTGCTTCAGGAAGCGTGGGGTGAAATTTTTTCAGAGTACCTCAGCAAATTGACTACTAGAATGCCAAAGGTCTGCAAGGCTCTAATTGCTGCAATTGGAGGATTCTTTGACAAAAGCAAAGTTTGAAGGACACAATTATTTTTTCAAATAAAAATCAGTATTTCTAACCTTGTCAATGTCTTGTCTTGACTATGTTTTCTATCCATTTCGCAACTCATTTGATGAATAAAAGTGTGAGTTTTCATGGTAAACATGAAATTGTCGGGGTGACCCCAAACTTTTGAATGGTGGTTGTGTGTATGTATATGTATGTATATGGGTATGTGTGCGTGTGTGTGTGTGTGTGTGTGTGTGTGTGTATATATATACAGTATGTAAAAAAAAAAAAAAAAAAATATATATATTATTGACATCTGCCTCAAAAATCCAGTATTGTTTGGGCTTTAATTTTGTAGTTTAGTAAACCATTCAGTTTGTGAATAAGCAGAAGAAAGAGGCAGGCTCAGGCAGTCTAACATTTCAGCCTTAGATAACTATGTTTCTTTCCTTTGTAGCCTGAGGAGAAGAGCAAATTTGATGGGATTTTTGAAAGTTTGGCTCCAGTCAATGGCCTGCTATCAGGAGAAAAGGTCAAACCAGTCCTAATCAACTCCAAGCTCCCCCTGGATGTTCTTGGGAAGGTATTGACTTCAGATTTTGGTTTCTTAACATTGGGTCTTAAATTAGGCTTATTGGTTCTGTGATTGAAGATGAAAGTACTCAAGCCAAAACCAAAGTGTGTTGTGTTTCCCCACAAATCTGAATGGTCTCATCACATGTATTTCCTACTGTTAGGTTTGGGACCTGAGCGACATCGATAAAGATGGCCATCTAGACAAAGATGAGTTCGCAGTGGTGAGTGTTATCTTCTGCATTTTCACCATAGTAGTGTTGATTCTCTATAGCCTGTGAGTACTCACATAAATATACACTCAATGGTCACTTTTATTTGGTACAGAGCCAGCAAATGTAGGGCGTCCCCATGAGATGGCCTTTCCTTTACAAATACATATTCACACATAAAGCAATGTGTAACGGCCCACAGCACAGTGCAGACTCACGTGTTTTTATTTCGCCCATGGTTTGTACTGTATGTTTCCCATACTAACAGTCAGGGTTGGGAGGATTACTTTAAAAATGTAATCCGGTACAATTACTAATTACTTGTTAAAAAATGTAATCAGTAATGTAAAATAAAAGTAATGTAATCTGATTACCTTCAGTTACTTTTGGATTACTTCAATGCCAAATAGGCAAATGAAGACAAGAGAAGTATCAATGATGTGTTTTCTGCTCAGTATATTTTTAGAGAAACACAAGAAAACAAAATCTCCTATTCCCATGAAGTTAAAATTTTCCTTGGCTGGATCATATTTGATGGAGAAAATGTTTTTCTAGTTTTCTCTCTGATGTGCCCCGGCTGCTGTGCCTCAACTCTGTGACTCACAGAGTTTCCCGATGGACAAATAGCTTTACTTGTTGCTGAAGTTGGTTAATAGCTAACTAGTTGCTGTTATTAGCTCAGTTAGCTGTGCAACCACTGGTCAAATAGCTTACTCTGGCCGTACTACCATACCATAGACTGTATTTTAAAAAACATATACGGAGGCAAATAGCACAGTGTTTTCTGTTTCATGGAAACTTTCTGCTTAAAGTAATCCCTATGAGTAATCCCTGGTTTTTCAAAATGTACCTGTAATCTGAATACATCTTTATTTTCTGTACTGTAACGGAATATAGTTACTTTATTGTATCCTGATTACATAACGCCGTTACATGTAATCCGTTACTCCCCAACCCTGCTAACAGTAGTTGCTTTAACTTAAATAAACCCACAAATTTCACTCAAATTTCACCAAAAATTTTTACCAAAAGATAAGTTCAGTGTATGCTGATGTGTGACAACATTTTGGGGGAAACCGCTATGTTGAGTCAAATTTGCTGAAAACTTGTGCTGATTGGTGGTGGCTGAATTCACAGGGATTTGTTGAATTTGCGTTAATAGTTGCTATTTTGACATCGCAGAATCGCAAAGTCTTTTTGTTACAAAGATAAAAGTACAAACGACCATGAAATATGACAAATACGAGGAAACATGACTCATACAGTTGTTCATTAAGACCAAAGAGCTGCTCTGTGTTTAGAGTGTGAATCCAATATGCTTCTCTTCAGTGCAGCATGTTGATGACCTTTAAACATTGTTAAATCGTTGCATCGATGCATTATTATTATTATTATTATTATATTATTAGGGCTGGACAATAAAACAATAACAGTAATTATCACAATATATTTATTTTCAATAACAATATAACAAATCTTCAATAAATATTCAATATATGTTTGATTTTATTCACTTGAATCATAAATGAATTAGGACTACATTATTGATTAAGATGTTTGGACTGAAAAAAGCTGAACTTTTACTCAAATATGTTGACAAAGAATTTATCATAATATTTCTGAATGTTCTGCCTCAGATTTGTGAAGTGATCCACGTTTTGGCCCACAATTAACTTTCACTCAGGAGCAAAAATCGGCCTTTAAATTGGAAAGAAATAACGATTTGAAATTTATCGTGATAATTATCAATATCAAAACTTTTTATTTTTATTTATTTTATTTTAACATTTTTAGCCATATCTTCCAGCCCAAATTATTTTTATATCCTTTATTGAGTTGCTCCTGTTTTGAATGTAATTTTGAACCTCCAGTAAACACTCCAATAAAACACTCATTACACAGTGTTGTGATTGAATGAACCACAGAGTAGCTGACACAATACAAAATATTATACGAAACCATCAATGAGAAAGTGTGATTGCTAAATTGCATTATTTTGATCTAAATATGCATTTTGCAGGTTTACGCTAATAAACAAAAATACAAATAAAATAAATGTTACATCAGTGTCACTACCTGTAGATAATTAATATTAGAACTTGTGTCTGGACTCGGGGCAAATAACAGGTTTGGGACATAATGAATTTCTATAAAAGCGGCATATGCAGCTAGATAGTTTTGTTAATACCAACATATGCTCTCCCAGGCCATGCACCTGGTGTACCGGGCCCTGGAGAAGGAGCCTGTTCCTGCGCTCCTCCCCTCTGTCCTTGTCCCTCCGTCTAAGAGAAAGAAGAGTCTGGGCTCAGTGGCCGGCTCAGTGCCTGGACTGCCAGCAAGCCCTCCACCACCAAAAGACTCACTGCGCTCCACACCCTCCCATGGCAGCATGAACTCACTCAACAGCACTGGCAGCCTGTCGCCCAAACACACGCTGAAGTCAGGACAGGTAATACACACTCCACACACACTAATGTACACTCATTTACAAACAGCCTCATCAATCAACATACACTAATCCTCTGAACTTGAATCCTACAATAAACACTACACTAATGTTGTACACACACAAAATCACTTTTGGACAGGTAACATACACCATATATACTAATGTACTCGCACTAAATATAAATACACACTACACTATACTTAAGTCTGTGCAGGTGAGACACACTGGAGGTGGGTAGTGTCAGATAACTCTTGATAGAACTGAATTTGCATTTTTGGATAAACATTTGATAGATTCTGTAATTTGCATATAACATATAGTACAAACCAAACACATACAAACAGTGCCAACTGCCGTAGAGCCCTGCACAGGCCTCAAATATGGGCCCTAGCCCAGCCCTGGTCCGAGACGCTCAGGTCCGAGCCTGGACCGTGTTCAACAGCTTATCAGAATTGTTACTCCAACTGGAGCCCATGTTTTTTTTTTCCTCTCCTCCACAACAGACTACAACTGTTGCAGCCATTAGAACAGTTCAGATTTGTTTCTTAGTAGCAGAGTTGTTATAGCCTATTTCTTTGTTAGGCTGGTTAGAAAAATGTCTGGAGCGTTTTTTTTCTTAGTTAATGAATGTTGTTTTTTTATAAAGTGACGACCAAGGCCGTCAATTTACCTCTTAAATCAACACTTGACTTGCCTACAATAAAATCTATAGATATAAAACACTTCACAATGTGAGTTTGAACATGTAGAGTAATATCGCTACCAGAGTAAAAAGGCATTTTTAACAGGCTGAGTGAGAGCTGCTGCTCGCGACAGCGTGCAGAAAAACAGACTATAGACCTACATTCTAAACAAATAGTAAACTAATAATAAAAACATGCAGGTTGTCTTACCTTACACCTGCATAAAAAAATCAAGGCTTCACCACAGTAACTTACATGGTCAATCTAGGGCTGTCCCCGACTAAGGATTTACATAGTCGAATCACAATCGTCAAGTCCTGCCTATAGAATCATGTGTGTTTTTGTGCGCGGCGATTGCGAACCTTCTCTCTCTATCTCTCTCTCTCTCTCTCGCCTGCCATTCACCGGTCTTGTGCAGAGTTTTGCCTGCATGCCGTGCTGCCGACAACTGCATGCGTGTCACGGTTCCTCATGGATCTATTTCAAGTAGCCGGCTATTTAAAAATGATAAAATATTCTTTGTGTGGTTCATCAACGGTGATAAATTATCCGAAAGTCCCGCGAGGTGTGATCAACTCGGCACAAAACCAGTAAAGCTGGGGGTCAGTCTCTTCAGCAAGCGTTCCTCTTCCGCCACCATACACACGCTACACCTTCACATGCGCGCTGACGACCCAGGGTTAGGGTTACAATTTTGGATTTATTCACGCACTTCAAAAACATTTATTGAAAGTTTTATTCTTTTTACATGTTTCTTTGCAGCATTAAATGTTGAAATGTATATTGTAATAGGCTGTATATTAACTTATCGGGAGAAACCTGGTAGTTCTATGTAAAATCAGACGTTGAGCACCCCCATATCGCCAAAATGGCATGATCCTTGTTTCGCTGGGAAGCTTCCACTGTGAGATTGACAGTTGGATCAGAATATTCGACTATTTGGGGTCAGCCCTTGGCCAATCCCAAACAAAAAACGAGACTCCTAATGTTATAGCCGGAAGCACAAACGCTTTCATACAGAGATCCCGCAATAATCATGTAGAGAATATCCAACAACATTCCGCATTCAGTCATTTATAGCCTACTGAATAAAGTTTTGCGACATAGTCCTCAACCAGCAGCGTAGAAAAGGACTGTTACATATAACAGAACGCCGGCATGCTGCTGTTCACGCACACACCCCACACACTGGGAGCAGACTGTGTCATTGTGTGCCAGTGTGATCAGTTGAAAATCGTCTTTTTTTCTTTGTTTTACCTTTATCTCCAGCTACTCATGGTGTCTTTAAATTAATGGCGGTCTAAAAGAGAAAAAGGAGAAGCCTTATACAGGCCTGATGCCTGGCCTGCTTGCGAGCTATGACATGAAAATTGGCCCAAATGGGGCTCGGGCTGAAATGCAGGGCTAATCTGTATCGTATTAATCGGCAGATTAATACGATACTTGAGTAATCAGTATTGATGAGGCTCATTATATATATATATATATATATATATATATATATATATATATATATATTTTTTACTTTTTTACAATAAGACACTGACAACTGTAGTTTATAGTAGCCCTCTGCTAGTCTCTCCTAAAGAGTGGGGGCTCTGCGGACTTTCAGTAAGGTTTATTACTCTGGGTGTGATCCTTATCTGTCATAATATCCTGGAAAATGATTTGTGCACACCAAGTCCGTATTTTTTGTCACACATTTTGTCGCAGGTTTAAAAAAAATACGACCTCTAGTTTTGTCATCAGGTTTACACACCAATTCTGAAACATTCAACCATAGTATTGTAACACTAACACATTTTGCACACAGCTCATGATGACATTTTTAAGTGGCCTTTTATTGTGGCCAGCCTAAGGCACACCTGTGCAATCCCCATGCTGTCTGATGAGCATCAACATATGTATCTGTTTCTGTCTCAGCATACAGTGAACTGGGTGGTCCCAGTCTCAGACCGTGGTCGCTATGACGACATCTTCCTGAAGACTGATGCTGATCTGGACGGTTTTGTCAGCGGCCATGAAGTGAAGGAGATCTTCATGCAGTCTGGACTTTCTCAGAATGTCCTTGCCCACATATGGTAGGGACTCAGCTGGGTCCTACTCTCTTTCATGGCTAGACTTATGATTAGCTTGGTACCACTTTCTAACAAGTCAGCCTTTATAAAGGGTTTTACTGTAAATTGGAACTAACGGCTTTATTAACAAAGGTAGTGTTTGTTTTAAATTCGATCATCTGTGCAATTTAACACCCTGTCATATTTTATGTCACTCATCCTAAACACAACTATCAGCTTATCAAGTGCTAATGGAAATGTGATAGTAAACCAGTGGCAGTTCTTAAAATGACAGAAGCCAGAATATATGTTTTGTATCAAACATCTCTGTTCTTAGGCACAGCTTGTCAAGATTGTTAGTTGTTGGCTTTTGGACATTCGATTTACCCACGTTGTTCTGGTCTATCACTCAGGAAATACAATATGAACTCAGACCAAAACATTTGTCAAAGGTGGCTTTGAACAAACAAGTTAGGATAAACTGGTCCCCATTCCTTTGATTGCTTTTATGCTGGATACTCAATAAAAGTAAGCATCAGTTGATACTTTGTCTTTAGGTATGTAACATGTTTTAAGACTGGAAATCCTGTCTGACAAGCTACCTGCCTGATTCAGCTGTTTATGCTTTTTTTCTTTAGATTTGTGTTTGTCATGGTCTGCTCAACAGTGTGGCCAGTCTGCTCAGAATAACTGAGTTAACCTAATGTGTCTGTAATGTTGACTGACTGGTTTTCCCTGCAGGGCTCTGGCAGACACAAGGCAGATAGGCAAGCTGACCAGGGAGCAGTTTGCCCTCGCCATGCATCTCATCCAGCAGAAAGTCAGCAAGGGCATCGACCCTCCACAGGCCCTGACTGCTGACATGATCCCCCCGTCTGAGAGAGGCACTCCTGTACCAGTAGGTCCAACACACTCTGAAATGTGATCCACCTTTGTGATAAATGGAATCAAATGACAATTAGGGTTCAAATCCTGCATTTGTGTATTTTCTGTAAAGTTTGATGTGTAAAAAAGCTGCAATGAGACACCAAGATGGATGAAAAGAACAAGGAACTTGCTTAGCACTCATGACTTTTTTCAAAATGTTTTAAAAGCAAAAGTGTCTCTTTTGACGTGGGGTGGAGTTATAACTGTTGCTATTTCATTGTCAGTAACTAAGTCATTTCTCTCTGGCCACAGAGTATGTCAGGATATATGACCCCAGTGGGATCAGAGATGGCTGCTCTGTCTGAGATGAGACGGGTGAGTCAATACTTCTTTTCTTCCCTCCTCCACTCTTCTTTCTCCTGCTCTTTGCATATTTGGGCATAAAGGTATACAGATATGTCTGCTATACATCCTGTTTTTTGAGCTGTACTTCCCAATTTGCCAAATCTGCTTATTTGGTGGAAGAGAACTTGAAAACAAACATTAAAATGGAAAATTTGGGAAGAGGTAAATCAAAGATCTACTGCCCACTGTTTTTCTCTCTCATCCTAACTCTTTTACTGCTGCTGTTTCCACCTTTCCCCTCTTCCTACTCTCTCAGGCTATAATGTTCAAGTTGTGGGTAGGTAACATGGACCTACAGTGTATTAACATATGAATGCTTTCAGTGGCTAGGTGTTCAGGCTGATTACTTGAAAGCATTTGCAAGACTTTTCTCTATATTCCAGTACAGTGCCGTGACATTGTCTCAACCGGTCAACTGTCTGATGATCAAGGGGGAAGATTCAAGATCATTTTCATTTGGCAATCAGGTTTCTTTTAAAGCGTAAAGTGTTTTTGATAAAGTGGCTGCACTCACAGAAAGAATTTGCCCTGGTATAAAATGTTAAATCAATCAAAGCAAAAGCAAAATGTGTGCTTCTGATAAGTCAGTACTCATGTTTAATAAAGAAACAAACTTGTTTAGTTTATTATTTTCAAAAAGTGTCTCACCAACAAATGCTTGTGAACCCAGTACTGGACATCTGTTGTAGTGCTGAAACGATTAAACGATTAAATCGATTACTAAAATGCATCAACGAAAATTGTTTGCATCTTCATTTAATCCATACAACTATACAGCGCACTGTTTTACACAGACATTTATTACACCTCAAGTCCAAGGAACGGACCACAGACAAGGTAACAGTAAGAGCAACTTTAGCATTTAACTAAAATCATTATTGACTGTTGACCTGAGAGTGCAGAAGCAGTAGAGTAGCAGATCAAGACAGTGAAGTTAGCAGCTCTTTTTTATTTCACACAGAGCTCAGGAAACATGTACTTTAAGTATTTGCACAGTAGGTCACTCAGGATGTTCAGCATGTGAAGGAAAATGTGAAGTTTATGTTAATGATTATATTTTCGCGATCGCGATGGTAATATCCGTTAGCACTTCAATGGAGATTCCCATTATTTGTTAGCATTGAGCTAACTGCAGAAGCGCTGTTTTTCATTAATATTATGTATGATATAACGCTATATTGCTGTATCGATTTATTGTCACACCCCTATTCTTAAACGATGCATCGATTAAATAATCTGTAGAAGCTTCGAGTACTAAAATCCTGCCCTAATTTGTTGTAAACCACTTTCTTGAAAACGTTTTGAATGTTGTCACTTAAGATGGTTATGACTGACTGAATACAGTGTTTCCCATAGAATAACAAGGTATCTGTGGCGTGGGTGGGGAAGCAGTATATTGCACTAGCAGTCAATATTGATTACCAGCTGTGTGCAGCGTGCTGACCTCGACGACCCAGCTGTATTCTAACGTAAGCATATCTATCCTTCTTAGCTAGGCTCCTTACATGCTTGCTTATAACTTATTTGAAAGTGGGTGTCCAAGACTGACAGCGTTGTGTTAAGAACAGATAGACTAACTTATCAGAGTTAACTTGAATGCATTAGTTGTGCAGCAGTGTTCATGACACTAACCAGTCAACTCCGGATTGATTCAGGAACTTCTCTTTGTGGAAAAACCGGCAACAATCCTTATTCCACCGCATGATCGTGTTATGATTCAGATTGTGCACGAAGAGGAGGAGCTGTTCACAGACCGCTCCGTTGTCAATGTGAGAGGGAGCAAGCGAGCGATAGGGGGGCTGAGATCTATGTGCTGCTAGCAGCTCTATCATTTTACCCATTTTAAATAGAAAAAAAAATCGAAAATCAATATGTAACTGTCAGCATTGATATCATGGCGAGCTGCCACAAATAAATCTATGAATGGGAAACACTGGAATATTCATCATAAAATTGCAAAATCCTGAATCTTTCCTCTCCTTGGCAGTTGGCCAGTGGTGGTAACATCCCCCCACATGTTGGTGACTGACCCAGCCCCCACCTACTGATTCCTCCTCTGTGCTGCTCCTTATATTGAGCGCGTTTTTTCTCCTATCCTCTCTTTTCCTCTGCCTCTTCCTTTAGCCTGGTCTGCCAAGGCTCAGTTGGTACCATTTCATCATCCCACTTTCGCCAACAAATATGTTTTATTTTGCCAACCTGTTTGTTTTTTCTTCCTTCCTCCCCTCTCTGTCTGTCTGTCTCCCTCTCTACAGGACAGCTCTAGTTCAGTGGGTTCAGGGGAGTTCACTGGCATCAAAGAATTGGATGACATCAGCCAGGAGATAGCCCAGCTGCAGAGGTAACAAACCATATCACTTGTTGCACAAAAGTAACATGACAGCACTGAGTTTAAACCGCTTTTACTTTAACATTATTTAAAGCTGTATAATATAAATAAAGATTAAGATGCATCAAAACTGTTTACCAGCATAAGTAGTAACAGCAATATCAACCATGTAGCCATTTGAAATGTTTTACATAAGTAGTAATTGGCTCAACATTAACAAGATACAGCTTTGAGTTTGAATTTAGCTCTGCTGTTAGTTATCAGATCATCAGATCTGTGGCTATATGAAGATAGATGCAGAGCTGTCAGATGGTAGGAGAGACTGTCGGACAGACCTTTAACTCCCACCTCCAGTAATATTTGGCATGCATCCTTGGTGAGGTTGGGATCATGGAATCCGAGTGGGCCCCAGTTCAAAGCCTGCTCAAAGGCTGCTAAGAGTTGTGGTCAGAAGTTCGTTGTTGCCTGTCGTGGCGACAGTCTAAGAACAGTCTGGTTTCCGCTGGCTTGGTTGGCCCAGGGGTCTGCTGAAGGAGGAGTCACAGGGAGGCCAGAAGGGCTGCACCTTCGGTGCAAAAACCTGGTTGCGGGAGGCTTTTGAAAAGGACTTTCAGTTGGCCTCAAGGAAGTTCTGGCAAACCGTGAAAACAGGGCCTAGCTCAGACTGTGTTCAGCAGTCTGCAGAGGCAGACACCTGGTGGAAAGAGTACTTTGAGGAACTCCTGAACCCAACACATTATCTGTGGAGGCCTCCTTAGCGGCAAAGTAGCAGGTGTGGGTAAGATTTGCAGAAATACTGAAGGCTCTGGACATAGGGTGGCTGGACTCAGCCTTAGGGCCCATTCAGAATCAAATCCGGGGCTGCTGTGAAAAAGAAACTCCTCCCATTCATTTGACTTTATTTGGTTTAGGCTGCAGCGGTATGGGGCTGCAGGGGAAAAGTTGAAACAGAATAAACTTTTGGAGAAATGTGCCCCACAGAGGCCAATCTGCCGATCAGAACAGTGAAGCTGCCCCACAGTCAGCCTGAAATATCACTGAAACCAGGCCCTATCCAGACGTTCATGGACCAAACTATGATACTCTCCCAGTTGTGTCCTTGCTCTGTTTACTTCGTGTACCTAGCTTTAGGTAGAAGCTTCCTTTGGTTTACAAAGAAAGCACTTACCTTTATGAACACATACATACAAGTCTTCACAAGATAAAAACCTTCAGACAGGGTGTTTTATTGGTGGAAACAGTTGCTTTTTAAATTTACATCATTGTCATGACATTTATAAAAGGAAGGCTTCCCTTGTATGTATAAAACTTTTAAAGCCCAAAAGGTTGACACAGCTCCTTTTGCCTTTTCTTCAGCCCCCAAATGTCATTTGATTTTATTGTAATGCTGTATTTTCATCCTTTTTAGTTTTTCATGTAGAAATCAAATCAGCCAAGCATCTGAGCTCAGTTCAGCCGTGTACTAACATCATTTACCAGGCATTCAGACATGTGGACACTAGACTACCACGAGTGTGGGGATTGACACAGGCCCTCAGTTTCTGTTTCACTTTAGGCTCATGTATTTAAGTGTCCCTTACAAAAGGATGTTGATATGCAAAGATTGAAGACACAGCTGTTTTGAACAGCAGCAGGGTTTACCTGCAACCCAAGCTAACCCTGTAATAGTCTGAGCTATATACTGCCCAACTGCTTTTGTGTTAAAATGCACCCACATGCATCAGATGTGGATGAGCTTTATTGTTCATCTTAGCTTTGTCTCATCCTGCTGCTTTCTTCCTTCTTCCATCCATCTGTCAAGCCACCCAGCCAACCGTCCACTTTTCCTTTTGATGTGTGTATTTTATAAAATTTTTGTTTGTTCACTACTTATTCTCCATGCTGCGTCAGCACTCTTGCCTTTACCCAGTGGAGTACTCTCAGGTAAACACACCAGCTACTGAATATATATGAACTGGCATTATGTCAAATCGACTGTGACACTCAGAGATGAGCAGCGACTCCACCTACTACTTTTTTTTACATAGAAGTTATCAGAAGGCTTCTCATACATTCAGATTAGTTCATTTTTATCATCTTGATGCCTGTCAAGATGCAGAGATAGTTAAAGGATAGCTTCACAATTTTTCAAGTCCGTCAGCTACCCATATGAACATTGGAACAGATTTTGCTTACTGTAATCATTCCTCCTTTTCATACTAGCCAGATACTATATACTAACAGATACAGAAGACTCCGCTGACCTAATGCAAGGATTGGTGTGATGTGGGATCTACAGTTTGTTGTGGTTAACAGCCTGGCTGCAGGAGAAACAAGAGAAAAAAAACTTTAGTCTAGGCATGAAAAAATTAGGGTAGGGTTCTTTTGGGTTTCAAAGTTGGAGAAGCAGATCCCATCAAAGACAAACTTATTAGGACCAATAAGAAATTAAGTGACATTTAGGGCTGGAGCGATTCAGTAATCGTATTATTATTATCGATTATGGAAATATGTCGATTTGCATAACATGCGTTGGTGCGTCACTGCACCTGGTCTTAGCAGGGATTCCCCCAGAGAACAAGCTGCAGCTGAAAAACTCCCCTATGACCATCTAGAGTTTGGGAGTATTTTACGCAGAGACCCAACAAAGTGGTGCTGTGAGAGCTCTGTGAATTGGAAATGGCTTATCACAGCAGCAAATCTGCTGTGCACAACACTTGAAGCAGCACGAAATATATTTGCCAGTGATTATCTTATTGCATATTACTCCAGTGATGAAATAAATCATTTTAAGTGTTAAGTCAACTTCTTTTCCAGTTCAGGAAAGGGCTGACACACAGTGTTTATATTAATCTGTGTCTGTCTGTGAATTTAAGGTCCAGGATTTTTCTTATCGGGGAGCTGACGAATAGGGTCTGTAACTCATTTAAATATATTCCACTATTATCATTATTCTGTGCTTCTTCAGGTGTCACTTTTTCAGGACGATTGAATAAAATAATGTTTTTGATATTACTTTTGCATTGTTATAATAACAGATGTAATAAAAATGATTTTATGAAAACAGACTGAACTAGCATTTGTCATAATGAGAAGCCTCGTTCTGATCTGCTACCGTTTGCCCTGTTTAAGAGTCATAGTATCAAATGCAGCAGTTAAATCAAGCAGGACCAGGACAGAATGTTGAGCAGTAGTAGTAGTGCTATATCTGTGCTCTATTGGTGACGAAGGCCAGATTGGAATTTATTGAGGTCCTTCACTGACCTCAAAGAGCTGCTGTGTTTTTAAAATAATTTGGATGGAGGACAAAATCCACAGTCCTTATTCTGTGAAAAAATATCTGTTGTATTTATCTAAAGCTAATATGCCACTTCAGCAGTGTCTGTTAGACAAGCAAGTGAATGTCTTTTTCAGTGAGTTAAATTTTTTTTAGTACACAATTCTCTCTTTGTGTTACTATCACTCCTCTTTTGCTCATATCAAGTTCAGATGAAGTTTAGAACAGTGGAATGTAGTTTTCTGCAGGAGAACTTTGTCCTGCATCACTTAAGTAGAAATCTTTTAATGGCCTGGAAGAGCAGGAGGAATGATTACAGCAAGCATATGGGCGCCTAGCTGTTGCTTTAAGACAGACTTGCAGACAGACTGACAACCAGTGGTCAAAAACTGCTGTTGGAATCAAATGCTTT